GATACCAGTATACACTGGTGCAACAAAAGCTAAGGAGATTTCCACTAGTCCTCTTAGATGAAGTACACTAGGAAATACAATGCCTTGTGAAAATGGCATTTTTTGAACCCATTGTTACATATAAATGGATTTCACCCATTGTGGTCTCTAAAAAGAAAGATGGCTCAACAAGGCTTTGCATTGACCTTAGGGAACCATACAAGGCTGTGATATTGGAGGCCTACCCAATTCCACTAATTGAAGATATTTCTTCATCCTTGCACATTTGTAAAGTTTTTACTAACTTAGATCTTTCCTAGGCATGCCATTAGATCAGACTTTATCCTGATTGCAGATACCTCACTGCTTTCATTACTCATACAGGGATTTACCAGTTTAAAAGATTGCCCTATGGTCTGAGTTCAGCACCAGGTGCTTTTCAAAGGTATTTAAGTAAACTTCTGATGGACATTAAAAGTGTAAGTTGTTGCCTCAATGACATAAAAATGAGTGGAAACAGCACTGATTTTGATGAAAATTTAAACCAAGTTCTTTCTAGACTTATAGAGTCAACTTTATGTTAAATGACGCAAAGTAATAATACAGACAGAAGTCCTTAAAATTCTTAGGGCATAATTGATGGTAATGGGGTTCATCTGGATCTGGATTTGCTAAAGCCTCTTTTAGATACCATTCCTCCCAAAGACAAGCCATAGATTTTTAATTGGAATGATAAACTGTTTTCAGAAATACCTCCCTAACAAAAATACAATTTTTTAACATCTTTAAAAGTTTCTGAAAAAAGGCGTTCTGTTTAAGTGCGGAGGAGAACAAACAAAAGCATTGCAAACAGTAAATGACTCTCTCAAAAAGGGACAAGTCCTTGTTCTATTTTGTCCAAAATTGCCTATGGTTATTACGACTGATGCATCTCATAACAGAATAGGATGCGTAGTCTCACAGTTGTCAAAAAAAGCGGAGGAGCACATTGTGGCGTGTGCTTCAAGAACACTTTCTGATGCAGAGAGGAAGTATTCAATCGTTGAAAAAGAAGCCCTCGCTTGTGTGTGGGCTGGTGAAAAGTTTAGAAGATGGGTCTGGGGTCGGAAGTTCACTCTGAGAACAAATCAATCCTCTAGAGCAGGACTGAGAATTGCAAGATGGTCAGTAAGACTCATAAACTTTGATTACAACATCAAATACAAAAAGGGGGAAAGATAACGCTTTCCCTCATTATCTCTCCAGATCATCATTATCATCCCATGAGAATTATGATGGTGAAGTTAAACTCGTTGAACAGTTGAACTCACTGCATTGATCAATCAGTGAGGAAGAATTCCTGAGAGAATGTTCACTGTGCCCTGAAAATTTTGCCTTAAAAGAGCAATTGATAAAACCATAGAGTAATAATGAATCCGCACAGTTAAATAAGTACTCCAGGTTAAGAAAGGATCTTTCAATTGAGGAGGACCTGAACTTGAATGAAAAAGATAAAATTATGGTGCCAGTATCTCTCTGAAATAAATTCCTAAATATAATCAAGGAACTGTCAGAACTACATTGTTAAAAGTCGTAACATAGTATGTAAATATATTTTTGAATATATGACTAGAGTGTAGATTTTCTAATTGAATGTATAAATTGTTATTATTTTTGTATATAACTGAGCCGCGGGTTGTTGAAATAAAGAGTTTCTTAGAGTTTCTGAGAGTTTCTTACTAGAGCGAGAGTTTCTTAGTAGAGCGAGAGCTTCTGCGCGTGTAGCCGCTGGTTTCTGTCTTCGTTATTGTCCTTCCTGGCTTGATCACTCAAGGCAGTCCAAACTGATATCAAGACTTTGGGTAAAGGTCTTACTTGTTTGGAGGAGGCTTCTTCAATCTTGACCTCGCGTAATCTTAACATTTAATGGCGTCCCCGGGTGGGCTGCATGGGCTGGTCAAGTAGGGAAGACGGGAAGACCTGTAGGCGCTGTCTCCCGAGGAACACAAGGCGGGAAGACCTGTAGGCGCTGTCTCCTGAAGAATTAGCCTGCCGAGTAGCAGAGGAGGAATTAGCCTGCCGAGTAGCAGAGGAAGAATTAGCCTGCCGAGTAGCAGAGGAAGAATTAGCCTGCCGAGTAGCAGAGGAAGAATTAGCCTGCCGAGTAGCAGAGGAAGAATTAGCCTGCCGAGTAGCAGAGGAAGAATTAGCCTGCCGAGTAGCAGAGGAAGAATTAGCCTGCCGAGTAGCAGAGGAAGAATTAGCCTGCCGAGGTGCAGAGGAAGAATTAGCCTGCCGAGTGCAGAGGAAGTATTAGCCTGCCGAGTGCAGAGGAAGTAAAAAGCTCAAGCTCAAGAAGCAGAAGCTCAAGAGGCTCAAGGGAACAGAAGCTCAAGAAGCTCAAAAGGCTCAAGCTCAAGAAACAAAGTTCAAGAAGCTCAAGGTTGAAAGGTATTAGCCTGCCGAGTGCAGAGGAAGTATTAGCCTGCCGAGTGCAGAGGAAGTATTAGCCTGCCGAGGTGCAGAGGAAGAATTAGCCTGCCGAGTGCAGAGGAAGTATTAGCCTGCCGAGTGCAGAGGAAGTATTAGCCTGCCGAGTGCAGAGGAAGTATTAGCCTGCCGAGTGCAGAGGAGGAATTAGCCTGCCGAGTAGCAGAGGAAGAATTAGCCTGCCGAGTAGCAGAGGAAGAATTAGCCTGCCGAGTAGCAGAGGAACAATTAGCCTGCCGAGTAGCAGAGGAAGAATTAGCCTGCCGAGTGCAGAGGAAGTATTAGCCTGCCGAGTAGCAGAGGAAGAATTAGCCTGCCGAGTAGCAGAGGAAGAATTAGCATGCCGAGTAGCAGAGGAAGAATTAGCCTGCCGAGTAGCAGAGGAAGAATTAGCCTGCCGAGTAGCAAAGGAAGAATTAGCCTGCCGAGTAGCAGAGGAAGAATTAGCCTGCCGAGTAGCAGAGGAAGTAGTGGAGCCTGCCGAGTAGCAGAGGAAGTAGGAGAGCCTGCCGAGTAGCAGAGGGAGAGTGAGAATCTGCGGAGCTCAAAGGAACAGAAGCTCAAGAAGCTCAGGCAAAGAAGTTGAGGAAACTACAAGGTGAGATGGAGGATGTTAGCAGAAGGCGTAGAGAGGCGATAAGAGGCGTTTTCACCGAGGTGGTAAATGATATGAATACAGAGTTAAGGGATCCTCTTATTGACAAAAGTGGCATATATGCCAAATTTGATAGATTGGAAGCTCTCTATTTGGAGCTGGTGGTATTGAACGAACAATACCAGGAAATTTTATTGGCCCAAGAGGCTATTAGCGACGATGAAATTGATAAAGAATTTGAGGAGTGTGAAGTCTACATCACGGAAAGATATTATTTAAAGGCCAGAATCCGCGTAATGCGTGAGCAGGATAGGGATGCTCAGGCCAAGACTTCTCAAATTCCACCAGGGGCGTCTAGTGCCTCTCCGAATTCAGATACCGATAATCAGAAAGTTATCAAACTTCAGAATACTTCTACGTCTCTATCGAAAAGCCCGGAAGAGTCCATGAAAAATGAAATTGAAGGCGTGGAAAAAGAGGATTCTGTAAAAACTGCTAGAGCTACGGATGTGAAGCCTGCTCTAGCTAAAGCTAGAATGCTAAAGGAAGCTTGTTCAGCTCCCTCTATAATAGATATTGAATATGAGGGCAAAAAAGGTGCTGTGAATGCTATTAAAGAAAAGGATTCTGAAGCTGAGCTCAAAGACGGAGTAAATGATTCTGAAGCGGAGCCAAAGGGCGAAGGCGTAAAGGAATCTGAAGCGAATCCTAAGGACAAAGGAATAAAGGATTCTAAGGATAAGCCTAAGGGCGACGGAGTAAATGATTCTGAAGATGAGCCTAAGGACGACGGAGTAAAGGATTCTGAGACAGCAATTAAAGGTTATGAATCGGTGAACAATTCTAAAGCAGTAGCTCAGGGTACTGATATAAAGGTGGAAGAAAAGCTAGATGCAGAACAGGGTACTGATTCAAAGGTGGAAGAAGAAAAGCTAGATGCAGAACAGGGTACTGATCCAAAGGTGGAAGAAAAGCTAGATGCAGAACAGGGTACTGATTTAAAGGTGGAAGAAAACCTAGATGCAGAACAAGGTACTGAATCAAAGGTGGAAGGAAAAATTATTAATCCAAAAGATTGGTTGAGTGAGGGGTTCATTGAAGGAGTCAATGAAAATCCACCTGAGGTGGAAGGATACTATTGGCCTCGTCACCTTTTGTTTAGGAATGGGTCCAGGGCTACGCCTATGCGGCCAGTATTTGGCGACGCTTCCTGTCGAGGACACGGCGCACTCGCCTTAAGACGGTATTTGAGGAGGAGACCCATTCTACTGAGGAGAATCCCGGAAATAGGGATAAAACTTCGGAAAAATAAGTACGGAGTTTTGGCCGACATGGGGAGATATTTCCAGGTAATGGCCATCAAGGAAAATGATTGGGACTACCTCCGATTTCTTTGGAGGAAGAAGATGGACGCCTATGGGGCAACCTCCGGTGGTGTGTATGGAGAGGGTGCCGCAGTATGCCGGATTTTTTCTTTTTGCAAAAAAGAAAGGTGGGGGTATGTTAAAAGTCGTAACATAGTATGTAAATATATTTTTGAATATATGACTAGAGATGTAGATTTTCTAATTGAATGTATAAATTGTTATTATTTTTGTATATAACTGAGCCGGGTTGTTGAAATAAAGAGTTTCTGAGAGTTTCTTAGTAGAGCGAGAGCTTTACGGGTGTAGCCGCTGGTTTTTGTCTTCATTCTTGCTTGATCACCCGAGGCAGTCCAGATAACATCAAGACTTTGGGTAAAGGTCTTACTTGTTAAGAGGAGGCTTCTTCAATCTTGACCTCGCGTAACCTTAACATACATAAAGGTTAAGACGAAAATTAAAATTATACCGCGAATGTTTCTTTTAAAAATCGAAATTTATTTTCAAAGAGAAATAGCGACATTTCTAACTTTGAGGATGAGGTATGGAAAGGTGAAACATGAAGAGTAATGGAGAACGGAAAAATAAAAAGTGTCCAGGGGCGGGAATCGAACCCACACCCTTCTGCTTACCGGGCAGGTGCCTTGCCCACTCGGCTACCCTGGACGTATTTTTCCGTTCATAACTTATATTTAAAGTAACATTTAAAATACAATATAACGCAGCTGATGATTGTAAAACGAAAATTAAAATTATACCGCGAATGTTTCTTTAAAAAATCGAAATTTATTTTCAAAGAGAAATAGCGACATTTCTAACTTTGAGGATGAGGTATGGAAAGGTGAAACATGAAGAGTAATGGAGAACGGAAAAATAAAAAGTGTCCAGGGGCGGGAATCGAACCCACACCCTTCTGCTTACCGGGCAGGTGCCTTGTCCACTCGGCTACCCTGGACGTATTTTTCCGTTCATAACTTATATTTAAAGTAACATTTAAAATACAATATAACGCAGCTGATGATTGTAAAACGAAAATTAAAATTATACCGCGAATGTTTCTTTTAAAAATCGAAATTTATTTTCAAAGAGAAATAGCGACATTTCTAACTTTGAGGATGAGGTATGGAAAGGTGAAACATGAAGAGTAATGGAGAACGGAAAAATAAAAAGTGTCCAGGGGCGGGAATCGAACCCACACCCTTCTGCTCACCTGCCCGGTAAGCAGAAGGGTGTGGGTTCGATTCCCGCCCCTGGACACTTTTTATTTTTCCGTTCTCCATTACTCTTCATGTTTCACCTTTCCATACCTCATCCTCAAAGTTAGAAATGTCGCTATTTCTCTTTGAAAATAAATTTCGATTTTTAAAAGAAACATTCGCGGTATAATTTTAATTTTCGTTTTACAATCATCAGCTGCGTTATATTGTATTTTAAATGTTACTTTAAATATAAGTTATGAACGGAAAAATACGTCCAGGGTAGCCGAGTGGACAAGGCACCTGCCCGGTAAGCAGAAGGGTGTGGGTTCGATTCCCGCCCCTGGACACTTTTTATTTTTCCGTTCTCCATTACTCTTCATGTTTCACCTTTCCATACCTCATCCTCAAAGTTAGAAATGTCGCTATTTCTCTTTGAAAATAAATTTCGATTTTTAAAAGAAACATTCGCGGTATAATTTTAATTTTCGTTTTACAATCATCAGCTGCGTTATATTGTATTTTAAATGTTACTTTAAATATAAGTTATGAACGGAAAAATACGTCCAGGGTAGCCGAGTGGACAAGGCACCTGCCCGGAAAGCAGAAGGGTGTGGGTTCGATTCCCGCCCCTGGACACTTTTTATTTTTCCGTTCTCCATTACTCTTCATGTTTCACCTTTCCATACCTCATCCTCAAAGTTAGAAATGTCGCTATTTCTCTTTGAAAATAAATTTCGATTTTTAAAAGAAACATTCGCGGTATAATTTTAATTTTCGTTTTACAATCATCAGCTGCGTTATATTGTATTTTAAATGTTACTTTAAATATAAGTTATGAACGGAAAAATACGTCCAGGGTAGCCGAGTGGACAAGGCACCTGCCCGGTAAGCAGAAGGGTGTGGGTTCGATTCCCGCCCCTGGACACTTTTTATTTTTCCGTTCTCCATTACTCTTCATGTTTCACCTTTCCATACCTCATCCTCAAAGTTAGAAATGTCGCTATTTCTCTTTGAAAATAAATTTCGATTTTTAAAAGAAACATTCGCGGTATAATTTTAATTTTCGTTTTACAATCATCAGCTGCGTTATATTGTATTATAAAGGTTAAGAGAAAGATATTGGTGGCCCGGGATGGATAAAGAAGTGGAAGACTTAGTAACCAATTGCTGGGTTTGTAAGAACCACGACAAGAGGCTAAAGTCTATTGAGTTACCTGATCTGAGTTCCTGTTGAAACACCTTTAAATTCTTGGACTAAACTTGGCTTGGACATAGTTGGACCTTTCATTGATGCCGAGATTGGATTCAGGTTTGCTATCACTTTTATTATCTACACATCTAAATGGCCAATGTCTTCTGTATGAACAAGTCTACCTCTAAAGTGAAGATAGATTTTTGGAAGATATCTTCTCTGGAGAGGGATTCCCACTGCACTGACAATGGAACACCCTTTTTTTCAGAAGAGTTTGAGAACTTCCTTATGAGTAAGGGCATTGAGTATATATTAACTGCTAATTATCACCAAGGCTTTCAAAGGAGAAGTGGAAAATTTTAGTAAAACTCTGAAGTCAACGATCCTGGCAGCCCACCTACAGCATACAGAGATTAAAAGAACGATACAGCTGTTCCTGAGATAATGCAGATCTACACAACACACGGTTGCAAAGCAAACACCTTCAACACTGTTTCAAGGAATAACTTTTAAAACTCTGTTGTACTTGCTCGAAAAGGAAGTTGGAACAAAACACCCAAGGAAGCTTTCTATCAGGAAGACAGGAGAGCCAGTGAAAGCAAAAGCTGTGGCCCTAAATTATAAGTGGAAGGCCAAGTAAAGTTCCAAGCTTCTGATTCCATCATGAAGGATGTTCCAAGTTTAGGGGACCATTCACCATAACTAAACAACTGCGGCCATTTACATTTGTGCTATCAGATGGCAAAGTGTGGAATGCCCGCAGAATGAGACTGTACCAGAAGTGTACCTGGACGGTCCTGACACCAGGAGGTACATCCCACTCTAGTTTTAGGTTTTATATAATCACGCCAGCCAGAAGGAGTCCACCCCGCCTCCTGACAGTTCTCCCATCGCTTCGCGACTAGGATCCAAATTTTCCAGAAAAGGGGGAAGATGCGGTATCGTGGCGTCACTGGGTGTAGCCGACGCGGAATCCCTCGCTAATTGTAGCTAGGCATTACCACGTGTAATCTCGTTGTTTTTACAAAAGGTTTCCTCCTTTAACATAACAAAGGGCCTTTGTCGTTGGAGTAACCCCCCCCCACAAACATGCACAAATAAAAATATATATAAAAGCAAAAGGAATCAAATTTGAAACATATATAAAAGGTTCAAAAGGGCGATTAAAATTTGTTCACAAAAATATATATCTAAAGAAGACTATGCCTACAAAAATAAAAAAACACCCAAAAATTTATTCCATGAAATCACTCATATAGCCTCTCCTATCTCTCTTAAATTTAAAAATTCGCTCATGTCCCAGATTGGGAAAGGGCGGCATGCGCTTTCCAATGCTTAGCAACTCCTCTTGTGTTTCTCATGACCTCCGCTTTCAGAAAAAAAAACCAACTATAATCTCTCAATATCTCTTTACTTGCCCTGTGATGCTGAACTCACCCCCCCCCCTCCTCTAAAGGCAATCATAACCCTTCTCTGTGTGAAGTAAAATATAATTTTGAAAATGAAAATAAAAAAAAAATAAAAAAAAATAAATATGAATTAGAAAGAAATGTTAAAAGGGAGGATTAAAAAAATATATATATCTGTCTTATTGTATATAAAATCAAGATCATGTGTAGCCACAAAATGGCGCCAATAAAAAGGATACTCGGGATAAAATGAAAGGAAAGGTGAGCCTGGAAGGATAGTATAAACAAAAGAGATTTATAGACACTAGTCATGGTGGTCTCTTGATAGGCTTAGCAAAAATACGATGATTCTATTTAAAGATTCCAAGTTGTTTTGTACTCACTTATTTTGTAGTTACGAGGACATCCCATTTGATATAAACTAATATATATATTTATTTAAGGAACGACTTGTTCCAATACAATTGTTGTAAAAACAAGCGAGCGAAAAACCAAAACAGAAAAGTCTGAAGCGCAGTGTGTGATGTCAGCACCGATGATGATAAAGTCAAAGTCTGCGTAACAATTCCCTCCTTACTTTGTCTTTATTCCCACGATGCTGAGGTTCTCCAGGTGTTTCTTCATCTGGTCATTCATAGGTCCTTTGTGAAGATATCCGCCTCCAGGTCCTGAGATGGCTTGTACAGAAGGCAGATGTCTCTGGATTCATAACAGTCTCTCAAGAAGTGGTACTTTCTGTTGATATGTCTACAGCGACTGCTTTGTTTAGGGCTGGAGATCCCGTTGATCAATGACTGACTGTCTGTATAGATCGCAGTTGGTTTTTCCATGAAATTCCATTCTTCCAGCTCTCGTAACAGGTTTATTATCCACTTGATCTGACAACAGCTTTCACAAGCAGCTATCATTTCCGCTTCCATTGTGGAGAGGGCGACGAATGGTTGTTTACTACTTTTCCAGTCTATAGTTGCTTCGCCGAGCTTCAATACATATCCGCCGTAGGATTTTCCATCATGGGTGGTCGACCAGCTGGCATCAGTGTAGGACTTCAGGATTCCAGTCTTCCCTCTTTCAAATTTCACTCCTAGGTCAATTGTTCCTCGTAGGTATCTCATCACTCTTTTGATTGCTGTCCAATGCATCTGTTTTGGTTGTCTGAAGTACTGTGAAAGTTTGCTAGTGATGTAAGCAATGTCGGGTCTGGTGTTAACAGCTAGAAACATTAGCATTCCAAGGGCTTCTTGGTAAGTGTGCTGATCGCAATTGTCATCTTCAATATGATTGTCCAAATTGATTTCTTTGGAACCCGGTGTTGGAACTTCCTTACAATTTTTCGTTCCATATTTCTGCAATATTTGTTGTACATAGTGGCTTTGCTGTAGCGAAATTCCCTCCTTGTCTTGTATGATCTTGATTCCCAAAAACATGCATTTACATGTTACATCCTTTATTTCCAGGTGATGTCTCAATTTATTGATGAATCTGTTTGAGGTATCTTCAGAATCTGAGACAGTGATAAAGTCATCAACATATATCCCTACATAGAAGTATTTGTCTTCATTCTTCCATTTATATAGGCAAGGATCAGATTTAAGTTTTTCCAGTCTACAGTCATGAAGTACTTGACTGAATTTCTCATACCACAATCTTCCGGATTGAGGTAGACCGTAAATACTTTTGTTGAGTTTGCAAACTTTGTTTCTATCTTGAACAAATCCAGCAGGTTGTTACATGAATATTGTATTTTCAATGTTTCCATTTAGATAGGCTGCTTTCACATCAAATAGTTTAATGACTGAATCTTTTGTTGCTGCCATTGACAAAATAGTCCTGAGGGTGGCAATTTTAATTACAGGGCTGGAACTTTCGTTGTAATCTCTTCCTGGGATTTGGTTGTATTCTATTGCAACAAGTCTAGCTTTGTAAGTTTTGTTTTCTTGGTCTTTAGATATTTTGAACACCCATTTACTTTTGACAACTTTAGCGTTTACAGGTCTAGGTACCAGTTCCCATACTTGATGCGAGTAAATGTTCTGTATTTCCTCAAGCATTGCGTTCTCCCAATATTTCTTGTCTTCGCATGCGATGGCTTCATCATAGTCTTTCGGAATGGTTTCATTCGTAGTAGCCAGAACGTAGTCATCGAATCTTTTAGGTATTGTTCGAGTTCTTTGTGGTCTGTCTGATCCACTTGACTCTGTCTGTCTGTTGATCATGGTATCTGGTGCTGGCTCTTCAATATCAACATCTGATAGAACATGATTGTCCAGTTGTTCATTCTCCTGAATGAAGAAATATGTGTCAGGGTCCGTATTATTATCACTTTGTTTTTCTTCCGAGATGACATTATTGTTCTCTCTGAAGTGAATGTCTGCGGTTTAAAGAATGACTCTCGCTGTGATATCAAATACTCGATAAGCTCTTCTGCATCTTGAATAGCCTACAAATATTCCTCT